GGGGACATGAATAAGGGTTTACGTGAATAATCAAATAAAAGTCATGAAATTGCAAACTATTAGGTTGTCTCATAAATAGTGTCGCTTTTTTTCAACCAAAAATTTTCATCTAAATCCCATGCTTTTACATCGAGTCATATACCATTCGAAAGAGAATTGTCTGCTCTACAAGATGCTATGTTCTTCTTCCACCTCTGTTCCAGGGTTTTCAAATTTTAGGCCTGCGAAATGGGAGGTCCAGCCGACAAAAATTGACCAAACCGACAACTATCTCTAACTTTATCTTCCCTTGGGAGAAATCAATCAATGATGTACCCTCTACTTATACATGACCTCTTCTAAACATTACACTATTAGGTTTCCCAACAAGTCGCGTCGTTCCATTTCCAGACCTGGTTTTTCAACCAGAACTCGACGGTCGAGCACCATTACCTGAGATCTAGGTCGAAATTTTTTTATAGCCGAGACATTGAAAAACTAGTAGAATTTAAAGAACAAGTCATGACTAAGTTAGGAATGTACGCCTGGTTGATTTTCTCATCTTCTCAGGGATAATTTTTTCAAAGAAATGCGGTCACTTTCGTGGATAAAGCACCTTATTCCTAAACACCTAAAATTCGAACTAATTCCCAACAAACATAAAAACAAAACAAATGAGCGAATAGAGCAGAAGAAGTGCTCACAAAAGGAACACCACTCGATATGAAACAATGGCGTTTACGAGGAACAATTTTAATTTGAAAATTGCTATGGCTTATCGGTCAGCCAATTCGAAAAGAAACACGGCAAAGCTTTTTCGGCAACCTAAGGGTGGAATGTTTAGAAGAGGTCATGAGTAAGTAGAGGGTACATCATTGATTGATTTCTCCCAGGGAAAATAAAGTTAGAGCTAGTTGTCGGTTTGGTCAATTTTTGTCGGCTGGACCTCCCATTTCGCAGGCCTAAAATTTGAAAACCCTGGAACAGAGGTGGAAGAACATAGCATCTTGTAGAGCAGACAATTCTCTTTCGAATGGTATATGACTCGATGTAAAAGCATAAGGATTTAGATGAAAATTTTTTGGTTGAAAAAAAGCGACACTATTTATGAGACAACCTAATAAAAGACAAGGATACAAAAACGTCTCGTGCAAGAGTGAATGAGTTTTGAAGCAGTGCTGCGATCAAAACTAAGCAAAAACAGAACAAAATGATATAGGAAGAACATTCCGATAACCCTAAAAGATATGTTGTAATCAAAATAAGTCGATGCTTATAATTTTCGGTGCTTCGTGATGAAGGGATACCCAAGTTGTGCTCAAAAAAGAAATCTGCAATCCTTACCCTGAGAACATTTCGCCATACGTTGAAAGGAGTTACCCTAGAAAGCTTACAAAGCAAATTCTTTGCAGGTTATTAGTCAACGTGGGTAGTTCCTAAAAAGATTCCTTCATAGACTGGCCAAATTACGTGGCGCATTTGTTTTGGGGAATATTGTCGGTGGTAACAAATCTTCTCTCGTGATATTTGTTTAGAGACCAGATGTGAAGCAACAAAGGCAGTGTATTTCTGCTATCTAGTTCCATCATAATCAGGGGAGAAAGGAGATCCCCACGTTAGACTCTAACCAAGAATTTGCTGCTGTTCAGAATTGTCTTATGGAGGTCCTTGGCTGGTGGCTTTTTCTTAGGGCTTTGTTTTTGTTGTATGAAATTTGCTCACCATCATGCAATTTCCCAATGATTTTCAACTAGTATTAATTATCAGCTGTCTATCAACCATTATTTGTTTAAGGAGTGAGTAAACTTGGACGCTTCCTGAAACACATGTGACACATTTCCTAGTTTACTGGTTTTCTTTGTGACGATGGAGGTGAAAAGCTAATAGTTTAATAATCTTCTAATGAGTTTGTCCATCTTTTCAAGATCTTCATGCACTTGGGAAAGGAAAACTAATGAAAATGACACTGCTGTAAGCGGCTGGGATCGGGGAAAGTCCTCAAAATTGATATCTTACCGTTCGTAATCGTTTTTTACAGAGTGGCCGTAACGGCATTCAAAAAAATACTGCTTGAGATTATTATAATAGGATTGTGCAAAAGCATACTGTTTGGGTCTGCTACTTTTCTAGGTGTCGGTAGTAGGCGAATACGTGCGCGCGAATGGTCCTTTCGACGGGATACTTGGATTCAGTCAAGGAGCGTCAATGGCTCATCTATTGCTGGCTATGGAGAAAAATGGCGAAATCAAGCTAGGCTTCCGCTTTGCTATATTGTTTGCTGGATTCTTAAGTTTGTCATCAGTTCACAATTGCTATACGTGTCAGACATTAGATATTCCTTCACTACATATCTATGGTTCTAGCGATCAAATAGTAATA